GGCATGTTGCCGGTGCAGAAACCTTCCTGCTACGTAGGCGCAACTGCCTCTGGGCTTTGCTGCGCATATTTGCCATTGCGCTCCGACGTGAGATTGCAGGACAGAAGGCACGCTACAAGTGCAAAAGCTGCTGCGGTTGCAGGAATCGCCCTGCTATATGCACCTGACGATGTCTCAAGGCGGCATTCCGAAGACAGCACCTAGCAGCACCCAAGGTTCCAAGGTTCGACACTTGCAAAATGGCAAGGTTCCATGGTGGCACCTGACAGCACAGAGAGTTCCAAGCAAGGGTTGGATTTTGAGCACCGGTGACAGACTGTGCACCACTGCCAGCCCCAGAGAGCGAAACCCAACTGCATTCTGTTGTTGGGAACTAGGACATAAAAAGAGAATTTACAATATTATATATATTACATTTTTTCCAGGTGAGAAACTGAGCAGACTATAAGTTTTATACTCATAGTAATGTTTACAGATGTCCAATATGAATATCGAACAAACATGAAAAGTATTGTCCTTTCAAAACCGTTTCATGCGTCCTTTCTGGGAGAATATTGTGAGTACTTGAAAATTGTTGGTCCGGAACTGTGTAGCAGTGTAGATACTACAAACATAAGCATTTGGTCTTCCCACCTTCTCCTGGGACAATTAGATTTATGAATGTATATATATATAAGATTGCCTTAAAAAAACCGGCACCAAAAAATATATCGTGAACAGTTTCCCTTTAGATCTTTTTCATTGCCCTCCCGGGGAAAAGCATGTGTGTTGCGCTTAACCTCTAACAAGTTGTTTGGGCTCAAATGTATGCATGTTAAAACACAAAACTATACTTATAACATCTATAAACTCAATCGTTCCAGAGAACCGTGAAGACCAAATATTTGCAGTGCTTGAAAACAATGTATTCTGTATATTAGTCATTGTCCCAAAAAGGACTGGGAATTTCAATATTCATAGTAACATTCAGATTATTTTGCATATTGCACATGTTGCTTTTGAACCCTTTTCGTTTTCCTTCCCATGGATTTAAAGTCGTTCAAATAAAATATTCGTGTGACGACCTGGAATAGCATCAACTATAAAGATCCAGTTTGTGGAAAATTGCGGGACCAGTGATCGACGCATAAAGCGTGATCTTCCCTCGTCTAATGATGAAGCATTCTTTCTAACATGGCACGTCAACGGCTGCCCACAATATCAATGAAGCAAGGTTGTGAAATCGATGCCAACGTCGATGTTGCGAAACCCATGACAATGTTGCAAAACACTGATGTGTATATAAAGAAAATCAGGGATACGTTGCGAAGCCAATGACGAAGTGGTCAAACAGGTAACAATGCCGTGAAATGGTTGAGAAGGTTGACAATGCTTGAAGTGCTAGACAATGGAACGACATGTAGGTGACATCGAGATCAAAGGACCGCCGTACCGAAAACAACACTGTCCACACGTTTGACAGTGTGGTAAAACCATGGGAAGCTGAGTGCAGTCTCACAGTCACTCACTAGTGGATGCGAACGCCTTGAAACCAAGCCTCACTGAGGGCGCCACCATGCTATCGGCCAGCGGTGAACCCATTGGCGAGCGGGTGCCAAAATCACCAAGCACACTTTGCCACCCCCACCGGTAGAAACCTGAGACAACCTGCTCTGGAGAGTCAACGCAATGGTGTCCACACACTTGCAAAAATAATTGCCCAAAATGCAGCTGCGCAGCCCCAGAAAGAGAGCAAGTCGACACAAATACCAACCAATCCAAAAAGCAACACAATCTGTGGGGTGAGCTTTTCGCCCTCATGTGGATGCGTCAGGTCCTCATTTCAGTCTGCGCTGCGCTGTGGCATCTCAGTCTTGGCGAATCTTGGCATTTCAGTCTGTGACCCAAAAACTCGGCGCAGGAATATATGCCCAATGAAGCTAATGAAGTTCAGTCCTAGCCATACGGTAAAGAAATAATCTCCAAAAAGAGCTCCAAACCTATGCCATTCCCGTACTTGTGCGATCCTACAGGGGTCACCAGCAATCCAGTATACCAGGGGTTGCGGACCCCTACCCCCTTCACATGCCTATATCGCTCGTGCCTTTGGAGGACTTGCGCAATTCCCCTTAATAGCTGTGTTCAGTGGTGTTGAGGAATTTGAGACTTGTCAAATGAAAGCCCGTGTAGCAGCATGAATCACACACAATGCATTGTCGCACTAGCAAAGAAAAAAACACGTGCTGGGATCATGTATACATGCAGGAACAACAGTCTTGACGGGAGGAAAACATGAAAAGATGTTGGACGCCCAGGGATACAGGCCATTAAGGCCAGGAGGTTGGCGAAACCGTGGGAGTTAAGTTTGCATGTCAACGACCTGTCAACCACAGTACGTCCATGTTGGCGTTTAGCAAACTGTTGTGTGTGCATTTGGTGCTTTGCTCGTGCTTCGGATCTATAGATGCACTTCGGCCACCGGGCGCAGGGCTTTGAAGGTTTCACTTGCAAGTTGAGGAAATCTTTAGGATTGCATACCATCAAGGAGCCCTTGGGATCTGCAACACGAAAGGTTGCTGATAGACAAAACAAGACATATACACACACGCATATATAACGGGGATGTGAGTCTATACTTCTCCGTACGCGCCCACCACAAGGACACATGAATTTTCCACAAAGACAGAGACACACGAACTTTCAATGGTAACAAAAAAATCGAAAATATAGTCGAGCCAAACACACAAGCAAAAACGAAGGAAGATGCTCAAATGAGATGAAGAAACGTCATGTTTTGATTGGACCGAAATTGGGCGAAACTGCAAGGAACTTAAAAGTAACATGATGCGATTGAGGCCAAAGGCCCGGTCCTTGCAAAAACGTGCCGATTGGTCGTAAACGCGCGCCGACGACGATCGAAGCCCCCTTGTAAACGGACCCATCATGCCCATTTTGTCCCACGCACAGTATGGCTTCAGCTAAACAGCCGTTCTTTGTCCACAGCAACGTCCAAGAAGATCCAAGTTTGCTGGCGCGACACTGTCTGACACACGAAAGGCTTCGAGAACAGTGAGCAGACCTGGACAGTCGTTCAAACGAGTGGCACACAACATGGTCCATGTGACTTTCGGCTGGAGATCCAAGGCCCAACCGTCAATCCTTTCCTTTGTGTCCTCTGTCAAGTAAAATACGAGACAAGGAAGGGTTTATCCTTCTCAGCTGCTTACTTCAAGCAATCCTAGCAAGAGTCATGAAAGCGGTTGAAGTCAAAGAGTTGCTGAGTGCCCAGCGGGACTTACTTACAAGCCCATATGGACATACATATGTATATATAAATATATAAATAAATACATACGCACAACATGGATGTGCAAAAACATACATGGAGTTGTGATGTCGGTAACAATGTTGTCACATCGATGACAATGTCGTGACATCGACTTACCCCCACCCCACCCACCCACCACCCCACCCCATTTTAATCACACGACCAATCGATGACAATGCTGTGGTGTCGATGACAATGCTGTGACACGGGAGACAATGTTGTGACATCGATGACAACCTTGTGGTGTCGACTTACCACACGGGGTGGATTGCACGAAGCCATACCATACATGGGTTAAAATGCACGTGAAACCTGATTCTGCTGGGGCATGCCGGGGCAAAGCAGCGTTGCGTGCGCGCGTTTACGTGCAATCGGCCCCAAAAACAAGAAATACTACAACTGGCTTTTACGAATTGTTGCTGCATTTGTGGCAAGGAAATTAATTCTTGCCGCGATTGCTGTCCGAGGCGCATTGATGGCTTCAAGAATGCCAGACATAGACACAGCCAGAAGTACTAGAATAGAAATACCAGATGCGCAAAGGTCCGTAACCTGAAGCTTTAATAGCGGAAGCTGGCTGGCGGGAGCGGAACAAATCTGGCAGCAATCTATTGAGGACTGCCTTCAGCTTCACAGCATCTCAACACTGCCTACTGCAAATCATAGCTGCCCTGCTGCGAAACCAAAGCCACAAGTCATATACAACAATTGTATGTTCACCCCTCCCGCACCTGACCACGATATCGCTCCGCGCAAAGGTTCACCAAATAGGTGCAAGTATCCACTAGCCTGGCAAGCCCACTTTGTTCACGAATCAACTAGTGCTACACAAGCCATGCCCACATGGAGCCACAGTCAACCAGCAGCGCATCAGAGCCAGCAGCTATGGCAGCCAAGAATTGGGCTGCCTCGACTCGAATTGTCAAGATTTAAACAAATACCCTGCAGCCATTGGAGTTGGCAATTGAACTCAAGTTGCGGCGGCTATGTGCGTGTGACATGCAAGCATCTCTGGGGTAAAAGCTGTGATGGAACCAAACCTGAGCTCAACTGCAGAGATTCAGCGTTCAGGGCAACAAGTCAATTGCAAGCCAAAAGCCAAATGATCTGGCAAGTACATGCTTCTGTGCACATGGACTACTTAGACTGCTTGCATCTGGCGCACAGAAGAATCACCACCGCAAGAACCTTCCTTAGCATCTGGTTGAAGGGTTGCTTGAAGTGTACCAGTGTAGTTTGCTTTCAGTTTTTTCGCAGGGCTTTTGGTGGCTGTGTTCACAAATCACTTGCCCGAGCTGCGAATTGCCGGAGCAATGTTCGCAACATTCGCCCATATCCACCCATGAGTCAATTCTGCTTGCGCTCGCTCATGGCGGTGTCCGTGTCTCTCTCTCTCTCTCTTTGTCGTCTGACATGGTCATTCTGAAGATGACTTGCTGTCAAATAAGAAGCTATTGATGCAGCTTGCAAATCTTCAAACCCTCAGCAAACTTACATCATGCACTTGAGGGCATATGAACTGGTAACTAGTCCGTCAACTTAAACAGGAAACTTGCTGCTGCCACACGACATGCTGTAACACTTGTAAGCCAGACTGCAAATCAAACAACAAACCTTGGCTCCCCAAAAAGGTGACGAGGTGGAAGCAAAAAGCTTGAACAGCTGCCTCTCAATGCACAGCTGAGATGCAAGCCCAAACTCAAGAGCAAAGTCCTCACAATGGAACTGACTTGGGGCTCGAAACACCCAGCGCACCAATCATGGAAGTGGAACAAACACTGCTTGTTGAGGAAAAACTAGTGTCGGGACAAGATAGTCGACAGTGGGCAAGTAATTGGACGCTGCTGTGGTCCAATGGTGTCTGCCCATTGTCGTTCGCCACACTTGCACCAGCGGTGAACCTGCTCTGAGTGCAGTGCTGTCTCACGAAAGGTCACAACTATATGGATTGGTCCGATTCCTCCAGCCATCTTTATATTCCTGACTAGTGGACTAGTATGGACTAGTGTGGTGAGCCTGGCCCCAATGGGGCGTTGAAAGGGAGACAGGGTTGCTTAGCTTGTTAACTTGTCTGAGCTCGTGTACGCATACATTTCGAAAAGCCAAGTTCGACGTGGTCCATTCTTTTGATGGACAAAAGGCTTCCTTGTTCCTGGTAGCGATGGCCTCCAACCCAATAGCGATGGCCTCCACTAGTAGCGTCCTTCCTACCGCTTCATGGACTGCGTTCGCAACCCCAAGACCTGCCCAGCCCAGCCTAGGGCACTCGAGAATCATTTTGCAGATCTCTTCCTCGTCGTTGGCGGCTGCTATGTGAAGTGCAGTGGATCCAATGCCATTCCTGCAAACTGCACTGCACAGCAAGGCCCTTGGGGTGAAAATACAGGTTGGGACGGAGATGTCCACACAGCGGTCCAAATGGCAAACATCCTGTTTGATTTGCGACGGGCGAACGGTCGAAAGCATGGAAACATGAAGCTAGAAAACAATGAAAACATGTGAAAACCGAATGTTGGCATGCTCGTACGAGTCTGTGCGATGTCTCCACCTGTTGAGATTTGGACGACTGGACGTTAAACGCAGGAGCAAACGCCAAAGTATTGCGCCGTATGATGTGCAAGATTGTTGGGAAGCCTTGTGATGTAGATGTATCTAGTATTTATACATGTATATACTCCGAGATCCGTTCCAGACCAGAGGTTGGGTTTGTTCACGGCGGGTGGGCTCGTGGGAAATGCTATGAGAATCGGCCAGGGCGCGGTGTCGGGAATACCATGCCGTCGATCGGTTGGCTTCAGCTGGGATGGGGACTTCATAGTATTGGCTGAGGCTGGGGTCTGAGACTTGCATGCGGGTATGGATTTCATACGGTTCTTACCCAATATTGCACAGATGCACCCATGCAAATGCACGTCCCTTTATATTATCATCATCTGCTCCGACCTGCTGACCTGCTCAATAAGTTTCATCTTGCTGCAGGTACGGCACACGAAGCGCGAACAAATTAAGAAATGCACAAGCAGTCTGTCTGTGCAAATGCGCGTAGAATTCGGAAAAAACAATGGCACATGTTGACAAACTTCTTGAGATGCTGCTTGACCCCGTTTTGCCAATCTCTCAGTCGCCTGGCGTTTATTTCCACAAAGTCGTCACGGGATAGAAGTGCACCGCACGCCTGGCGGTCGCTTAACATCACCTGCTGCAACCTGCTGCTATGCCCCCACCTGCACATGCCCCTCCGCTGCCAGAAAGTGCAGAGCTGTACCAGAGCATTCATCGCCTTATGTCAGTCTTATTCGAAAGCGACATCATAGATGTTCAATGGACATCATAGATGTTCAATGTCCCACAACTCTTTTCCAAACAAGCAATGAGCGTCAATCAAAACTGAACAACGCTGGACACTGACGGGAGCCGAACAATTCAGGAGGCTGGGTCGGAGTCTCCAACATGTGAGGACAGCCACCAACACATTAGGAAAGTACGAGTAACACAATCTAGAAGTGAAAAAAGGACATAAAGCCAACGAACCAACTTGTGGCTGCCAAATAACATATATATATATATACCTGAGAAAGTAGAGGACGAAAGCCAGCGAGAGACCAATATGGTAGTGCAAGACTGGGAGGAAAAAATAGCGAGCACTTATTGTTGAATGCGTGTAGCTTTCATGGAGCTTGTATCAACGTGGAGTAGATCAAGATCGGAGCACAGCATGAAGTGTTGAATGTTTTAGGTTTTCTCGATTTTCCTGGCGCGGTGCTCTCTGGAGCGTCCCTGTTTGGTGGTCTATTTGAGAGTCCATGCAGAAATAAACGTCAGTGAACACCAGGAGAAGGATGCCCGAAAGGTGGTTTTTGGTTGTTTTCAAATGTGTTTCGGGCATCGTGCATCAATGCGAAGCCCTACAAAGAGCAGGGCTGGGAGAAAAAAGAGGAGAGCACTCATTCTTGAATGGTTGTAGTTTTCGTGGAGCTGGTATCACTGCGACGTAGATGAAGATCGGAGCACAGCATGAAGTGTTGAATGCTTTTAGTATTCTTGATTTGCTTGGTGCGGCTCTGGAGCGTCCCTTGTTGGTGTTCTATTTGAGAATCCGTGCAAAAATAAACGTCAGTGAACACCAGGAGAATGATGCCCGACGTGGTTTTTGTGGTTGTGTTGAAATGTCTTCGTGCATCAATGAAGCCCTATAGAGAGCAGGGCTGGGAGGAAAACATAACAGAGCACCTATAGTTGAAAGCTGGTAGTTTCGTGGAGCTGGTATCACTGCGACTGAGATCAAGATCGGGGCACAGCATGAAGTGTTGAACGCGTGCAGCTTTCTTGCTTCTCCTCTTGCGGCGCTCTTATCCCCAAGCCTCTACCCCGCCCAACTGTACATACTCACATCGTTCGCTCCCAGAGCGTTCACTCTTTGTTGCTTGGTCCTTCTTGGTATGATCAGAGCTACACAGTCCCTATGCCCTGCTCAGGTCTAGAAAAATTGTCTCCAGACCCATGATGCTAATGATGCATTACTCGGCGTCCATTGCATCACTCGCATCACCAGACACCATTTTCACAGCTTCTCTGACCCTCGCTTTGGAGCGCTCTCCCCCACCAAGCTCCGGGTTCACCCTCTCAAAGTGTGCCTTTTCGCGCGCTCCCCCCCCACACCTCCTTAACTCACTTCGTTCGCTCTAAGAGCTCAAGCCAGCCTATCGGCTGGCTTTCGTAATATATATATATATAAACGAATTTTGCTGTTAGCGGCCCAGTTGCATGATTAGTGCATGCGGCATGCTTGTCAAGATTGGAAAATGCCATGTGCGTCCTTATATTATGTTGCAGGTGTCTGAGGCCCACACACGCATTGACTACCTTGGCCGGTGCTTCTCGAACAGCTTCCAGGGCTGCCTGCGGAATTGAAAGTGTCGAGGTCACAGGTTAGTTGGGATGTGTTGGGATCAAGGAGGTCCTGCCTGCGAATCTGAGCCACGTGCAACTTCTATGAATTCCTGGACAAATCTGTGGTCACTAACAAGAACGTCACACGGAATGTCAGTCTTTCCTCCTGCAGTTGCTCCAACACCTGGCAAAGCTGTCCAAGCCAGCCATTGCGACAGGCAAGTTTGGCTGAATGGAAAGTTCTTCAAGAGTTCGAGAAGGAATTACAACATCCCAAACCATCCAACCATCTGCCCAACCCTGTCCTTCTCGTCGCACTCTCGTATTGTGGGAGCCTTTGACTGCGGCAGAGTGTTGCCAAGAATCCTTGCAAGCTCGTCCTGTCCAAAGAATTCTGTCGGATCTCCAGCCTCCAAAAGGTTTGAGGGTAATCAAGTAAAGCTTCACACGTGCTCCTGAGAGAGTTGCGGAGCCTGCAGAGACCACGGCACATCGGTGTCTTTCGCTTGTTAGGCACTCTAGCAGATTGAGGCTGGCCTCTGGCTCTGCCTCCTTTTGCGGCTCATCACCGATCAAAGGGACTCTGTACCTGAAATTTTATGGAGACAGCAACCGAATGAGCAGTCACAGCCAGCACAGCGTCACCCCGACAAGAAACCCCGAAATTGAGCCAAAGGTACTGCGCTTCACGCGACTGAAGCCGGAAAGGCCTCAAAAGCATTCGCCAAAGACCTGAAAGGAGGCTGCAACCTCAGGGCATTGTTTTGGTGTGTACATGTATATATATATATATCTCTCTCTCTCTCCGAGCGTGTGTGTGTGTGTGTGTACCCCTTGGAGTCAGAGGGATCCGTCAGGATTAGC